AGGGCTTGTTGCGGGTGGGCTGCCGGCTGTCCGGCAACCAAGCGGGGCCCTGAGATTGAAGCACTAGGTAGGGCTTTGGGGGACATTTTATATTTTCCCTTATTGGGCTTAAGAGGATCTCATTTACTAATATTTCTCAAAGGGTTTAAAAGCCCCACCTAGAGAAGTGTGGGTCTTGTTCTGCGCGGGCTAGTGAGTTTCACAGTGCTTTTTGGGGGCTCCAAAGGGATTTACAAGGCCTTTCGGTTTCCTAAGTAGTAGTCGTTGAACCTTTAGGGGCTTGGGGCTTGGGGTCAGAGAGGTTTAGAGTTAGGGTGGGTGTAGGACGATAGCATTTGAAGGCTATTCTAGGAAGCGGGATGGCTTCGATGGGTTTAGGGTTTGGGCCTTAAGCCCTAAACCCTAAACCGTGGATCTCGTGGAGCTTCTTGCGTCGGGGTGAAGCACACGGTTTGGGGCTCCATGTCTGGGCTTTGCTGTTAAGAGTGGTGATGCCCTAGGGCCTAGGGGAAAGGAAATTGAGAAAACCCGACAGACATTACAAAATGTTGTGCAAAAGAGGCTTGATTATTTCGACCCAGATCTTGGGGTGCTTCATTGTTCTATGAGCATTTTCAGGACTGCATGCACGACTGCTCTCGTGAGACCTTAACATACGCGCTTTCTTTCGAGAAATGTAGAGGTCGGAATACTTAGCAACATGCTACTTTAGGGTCCGTAATTCTACTACAATACACCCGAAACCCTGTTCTTGTTACTTACTACGCTCCTTGCATAAAAGCCACATGGAGCACACGAGCATGGCCCACGAGGGGTCGGAGAAGGAGGCGTACTTCATGACCCCGCGCTGCAAGAGGGACTGATGACCCAGGGATTTAAGAGCATGATGGGGCGAACCTCTAAACCCCTACACCCTTCAATTACAACCCCACACACCTAAGCCTTTAAACCCCTGAAACTTAAACCACTAAGCATATACACCCCCAAGCCCCTCGCTTGTTATAGCTATGCTTCTGCTTTGGATTTTGAGGTTTCCTCGATCGCGCGGCGTGTCTCGAACGTGCTCGCGGAGGTTCCGATGAAGATGATACATTCCTCCTGTAAGGGTTCTTAGTCTAACAAGGGTTACTATAGTCTAGTAAGGGTTCCTTGGAGGGTTTAGGGCTTAAGGCTCCATGTATCTACACAGTATATACTTGGGAGGAATCTCCACCGAGAGACCCCGCCTGGTAGAAGACAGCCGCTGATGGCTCTCCAGAACGCTTACTCGCGAAAGCCGCTGCCATGCTGACTGACAGACGAGTAGGCAACATGAGAATCTTCTCGCCGGCAATGGAAGCCGCAGCCAGCGTCTTTCCACTTCCAGTGGGTCCGCAGACAAGACCAATCGCGTTGCCGACATTCAGCTTTCGGATGCCGGCTTCCTGATCGCCGTGGGTTGGACGGAGCAAAAGGTCGACGTCTTGAAGTGTTGAAGCCTCGGCGAGAGCTGTACGAAAGTGAAGCATTCCGGTTCCGCGAAAGTGTCGCTTTGCCTATTGATCTGGAAGCATCTTGACACTGTTGTATTCCAGATACGAATCCAAAGCGTCACGGTTCAGGGCATAGGATCCTCATACAGACCCTGCACATGGGCGCGAGTACAAAGAACAACAGCCAAAGCCTTCTTCCTTTACAGTAAACCCCATAAAGTTGGAAACCGGATTAAAGCCCAAATAGTGCTGGGATTCCCTATACATTACATTACTCTTAAGGGTTGAGGCTATTGGGTTTCCAACATTTTGTAGAAGGTCAGCAGCTCAGCTTCAGGCTCTCGTTTCGCGACGAGCTATCCGACATTCTCACCTTATGCTTCCAGGGGCCTTATCTAGTTAGGGCCCCCTAAACCCTAAACCCTAAACCCTAACCCTAAACCCTAAACCCTAAACCCTAAACCCCTTGAGGCCATAAGGACCCAAAAATAAGGTCCATGGGAGCCCAGGGTCAGGGATCTTGAATGTCAGTGGGAGCCCCGTTAAAGGGGTCTATTAGGGCTACTATAAGGGATATTGGTAGGGGCTCCATGGTATAGGGGCCTTGATAATTAGAATAGGGTTTTGGGGAATTCTTGATGATGGGCCGATGAAAGTTGACACATCTGGTGTCCTTAAGCTTACCGAGGACTTCCACAGGGCGGCCTGGTGATCTTCCAGAAAGGACCTTATTGTAATTGCAGAAAAAAATAAGGACCCGGGCCCCGAAGACCCATTCTAATTATCAAGGCCCATATATATATTACCCCGACGCAGTGTTTCCGGAGGAACGGACTTTGAGGGAGCCTCAAACTGCAAGCTCGGAAACATAAGAAAGGTTGAAGCCGACGTCGCCCACATGGTGTAGGCGTCCATTTTGTACATAGCTAGGCTGTGAAAGGGTTCCTCTGTACTTGAGGGCCAACCTCTCTTCACATGTCGTTGGGGGTTGGGGGTGCTGGGGAGTTTGTTTGCGAGGGCTCAACGAGAGCCCAAAACCCCTTACACTCAGGGTCATGGGACTTAGTATGGAACAAGGTAAGTATAGTTATAAATTCCAATTAGGGTACTTATAACCTTACTTACTAAGTCCCTTGACCCTCACTCTAAGTAGTTCCCTCATTAGCCTCACTCTCCGAGTAGGCCGACGTAGCTAGTATGTTTCATCTCCAAATCCCAAAGGGCATTCTTTTGTTATACTTGGAGCGTTGCAGAGAGGCAATGTAAGATTGTTGCTTCGGACTTACAAACTCATTCAAAATTCATAAGCCCAAAAAACCCTTTAAGCCTTAAGCCTTAAGCTCGCAACCCCTAAACCCTAAGCACTATACTCCCTAAACCCTAAACCATAAACACAACTTAAAAAAAAAACCCAAAGAGGCATCAGGCTCTTCCATGCAGGCTGCCTTGGCTTTTGCCCGTGTGCCCAGCTCCTGTGTGTATCTGCCCTAAGGCTCCATAGTAGTTCCTTTTTTAGGATTATCTTTTAGGATTCTATATATGAACCCCGAAAAGGAGCTAGTTACTATGGAGCCTTAGGGTAAGGTTTAGGGTTTCAGAGACCTCAAGGCCGCAAGAGCTTAGGATCAGGGGTTGAGGATTTAGGGTTGCAGGTTGCGACAGAGTTTAGTCTTTGCTGTCTACTTAAAACTACGATAAGCTAGTTTTGTTGTAGGTTCTTATAACGAACCCGAATATGCTGTTTCGAGGACCTTACACAAGAGTAGGTTAAGGTAGAGTTTAGTGTTTCATGAAGGGGTTGATCGTAGGGGCCTCGGGGGTGTCCATGAATCATGTGTCCATCTATACGGACTAGGACCTAGAGTAGGCCCTTATTCCCTTTTTAAGGGTTCAGGTTCCCTTATAAGCCCCTTTAAACCAAAAAGGGCATCCTTTTTCCTCCTAGGTTATTCTTGGGTCTAGCGGATGTTACCTCTTCAGAGTCAATGATCAGGCTTCGACAGGAATGCACAGAAGATCATAGAATTTGCTGGGTCACCGGTTTAGGATTTGGTGCTTCCGGCTCGGGGAGCACAATCTTCGGAACGCCAAGTTCGAGCAGCACCTGCTTCAACCTATGAACAGTCGGGTAAGTAATGGAATCGTTGCGAGTTGACATATTATGACTCCGTTCAAAAATCCGGTGAGGACATACTTGGGATTTCCCTTGGGCTGCGCATCCTTCTGGCGGTGCTTCGAATTCAGGGTTATACAGCCTGCAAGCCCAAACCATAGAATCATACAGGAGCTTCCGAAAATAGGTGACCCTGATATAGTACCCTAAATAGTGGGATTCTCAGTATAGGGACCCCCAAATAAGGTGCCCCTACTTTTCGGAAATTCCCTTACAAGCCCTGCACTCCTACAAGGCTTCAGTGCTTGCCACTGGTCTCCGAACCATTGAACCTTAGCCAGCAGCGGCCTTCTCAACAAGCCACTGTAAATAAAAGGGGCCTTCATAAGTTCCTATACCATTTTGGGGGTTCCTTACTTCAAGTATAATAGTAATACGTACAACAAACTCCTATTCCGTACCTTAAACTGGGGCGACCTGAGCTCTTATTTGTCAAGTTTGGTTGTTTGCTTCGTACTTGGAGGTTCATGGGTATTTACAAGGGTTCCCGTAAGGGTCCCTTTAAAGGTATGTCTAGGGGTTCCATAAGGGTATAGGGTCTAGGGCCTACTTGGAGGTTCATGGGTAGCTATAAGTGGGGTTCTCAGTAATGAAGTTTTTTCTTTTGGCCCCTATTAGGGGACTTAGAACCTCACTTATAACTACCCTTGAACCTCCAAGTAGTTTAGACAAGGCTTCCCAAGTATCAAGTACGGTCATAGTGCATCAGTAAGCCCCAACCTAAACCCCAAACCATAGATTCGAAACCTTAAGCCTTAAGCCCAGCCCTAAGCCGCATTTTGGAAGCACACACAGGCTGCCGTCTGCTCCCACCGGGGCTCAAACTAGCCCGAAATACAAACAGCTATTACTTCTGAGAGCTTGAAGTCTTAGGGTGCATATTGCTTGTATTCCCCCTTCAAGCCCTCTTAAGAACCCTGCTCACTCCCGTGGCCCTTAGCGGAGCGCGCCAAAATCACAAGCCCTTCAGGCCTTTGGCTGTACGCCCGAAGCCTCGAACTCCAAGCCCTTTAATCCTTTAAGCTTTAACATTAAACCCTAAGCCCAAAACTTCAAAGCCTCCATAGCCGGCAGCACTCTGCCTGCCCGGGTTGCGCGCTTGCAACGTCAAGTAGCGCCCAAACCCTTCATACAAACCCAAAGCTCGAATCTTCATCTCTGAGCCCCCAGCGCCTGTCGGGTTCGCTAGCAGCGAGCTAACCCCCTCCAAATTTGGGAGTTTCCGAAAATTAGGGGTACCGTATTTTAGGGTCCTTATAATAGGGATCCTATATTCTAGGGTACTATACTAGGGTCCCCTATTTTCGGAAACTCCCATTTGGCAGCAATGGGTGTCTCAGCAGCATTGAGCAGCCATGGGGCCCATGGCTGCTCAACGACCGCCCAGGAGAGACGATAACTGGGCTCTTTTGTGCACGCTTTTTTTTTCTGCGTTTGTTGGTGCGTTGTGCGTTTGCTGTTACCTTTTTTGTGTGTTTTTTCTACGTTTTATTGATATCCCCGCATCCTAGGAGGAGATAGGATGCGGACGACATAAGGCTCTGCTTAAAGAGTTTAGAGTTCAGGGTTGAGGGTTTTAGGGGAGTGCAGACCCAAACGATAGCTGGGCTCTTGAAGAAGAGTTTAGAGTGTCGGATTGAGGGTTTAGGCTTACCATATTTGGGATCAATAGACATAATATGGGGAGTGCAGACCCAAACGAGAACTGGGCTCTTGTAAAAGAGTGTAGTTGAAGCTACCACTCTGGGTATCTATGCTTGTCAATGAAGGAGTTTAAATCAAGTTGCCATACCAGGGATCTATAGTAAGTTATATGGGCTCCTTACGCCTTACTATGATATCTTCAGTAGCGACAAGGTCTGGCTTTCGTTCAGGTTTGACAAAGCATGTCAGAAGAGCACGGAGGATGAGTATACAAGGGCTCTTGAAAAGGGGTCGACGCGGAGACCCCCAGACGTAGTTTTTTCTTATGGTTTCTTCTGCCTTATGTTCAATGGGATCCTTCTACAGTAACCTTGTGGCATCATATGGCCACAGTCATTGGTGCTCTTCGGAAGTATGTCACTGTATGTCTCCATTAGTTCAAGCATGGATCGCTAGGATCCATGTGCCCAAATAGTATATACTTGGGGCCCCAATGCACCTGTACAGGGACTGCTTCAAGGCCACAGTATACATACTATTTGCGTACATGGACTCTTCGGGGATGGAAAGACAACTTCCCTCCGAAAAGGCCCTACATCGTTGTAGGTCTTTGCTTTCTTTCAACCCTGAACTCCAGATCCGGAGGTCCAAACTCTGACTCTAACACTTCAGCCAGACTGAACCTTCCCCGTAGCCCCGAACCCTACAAAATGGTAGGTGAAAGGGTTCAGGGTCTAGGTATTAGGCTAGATTGAAAAATGGGTCTTTAGTGTTTCAGGATCCTGCAAAATCCTTAATTACGACAGGGCATAACGGCGAAAGCAGCAGATTTGGGGATCTTCAGGCAACCTTTTGAGACTACACTGGCTTTCCATGCCAGTCCCTACACCCTAAACACCCTAAAACCTAAACCCTAAAACCTTTGCGGGACGGAAAAAGGCTCTCAACAAAAACCCTAAAACCCTATAAACTCTAAAGCCTAAAACCTCTTCCATGTCAGTCCTTTGAGAGCGCTGCGGGCTTTGGGCCCCTCCCCGCTCGCGGCGGACACTCGCCGAGCCGTCGCAGAGGCAGCCGGGGCTTGCTGCTCAGGTCCTGAGATACCGAAACATATTATAGCATTATAACCCTTTATAGCATAGTATACCATTTTACAACGTATTACAGTATAGCTACTATAATCTACTGTATCATGCCCCAAGATATGTCGGGTGGCGATAAGTTAAAGTTGGGGGTTCAGGCTCGGGCTCCGGGTTCGGGGTAAGCTTTCCGTTTGGAGTTTCGGTGGTGGGGGTTTAGAATGCTCGACTTTTCGTGGTTGAGGGTTTGGGGTCCATAATCTGCACCAATGGAGTTCAAGCTATTCGCCAGAGTTAAGGATGTTGGAACTTAGTATCTGCAACAATGACGACTATCGCCTTTTCGTGTGGTCGAGAGAACTCTGCCTTCAACCCGACACCCTGAATTCAAGCATTGAACCTAGCTCAAACCACAGCCCCAAACACAGATCCCGAAACTAAGCACTCTCAACCTCTAATACAGGGGTCAACAACGGAAGCAACATGCGCACACACACGCCGTGACACAGACCGACACGAACAACAACACAGAATCATCCAACTAGACCAGATGGCTCTAAACCTGAAACCCCAAACCCGTATTCATGCCCAAACTCTTCAAAACACCGCCCCAAAAAGATGGCTAAACCCTAAACCCTAAACCGCCACAAAAAAGATGGCCCAGCTGTGAGGCCTTGCCGGTGCTCCGAAGGGAGCCGAAGCTCATCACATCACTTCTCAAGGGACTTGCAGAGGCATGGCGGCTTAGGGTTTGGGGTTTAAAGTTTAGGGCCTAGGGTTTAAGGTCTAAGGTTAAGGGTTTAAAGTTCAGGGTTTAAGGTTTAGGGTTTAAAGTTTAGGGTTTACGGTTTAGGGCTTCAGGTTTGGGGTTTGGGTTTAGGGTTTAGGTATAGGATGTAGGGCTCAGGAAGGATTGGAGTTTAGAGTTTAAGGTTTAGGGTGCAAGGCTCAGGATTTAGGGTTCGGCTGTTAAATTTAAGTGGTGTAGGGTTGACAGCTGAGAGTGCAGAGTTGCGGGTTTAGGGTTTGGGTTCCCGAAGACACCAAACCCCTTCAAACAACAAATATGCGTTACGCCATGTTTGAGAGCCCTCTACGAGTTGATTTCTGAATCATTTGATGTAGTTTCCTTAATTACAGGGTTGCGGAGTCCCTGGGCTTAAGGCTTAAAAGCTGGGCCTCCTTTTTGGCCTTGGCGGTTTTAGGGTGCTCAGGTTTCATATGGACGTAGGAAGAAGCAGCTACACTTCAAACCGCTTTGTAGTCCTCTACAAGTATACTGCAAGAGCACCCTAGAGCCTTATTCTAAGGATTACTGCCTCTAGAGGTGAGAGTTTAGGATTCCGGAAAATAGATGCACGGGGTTCCTTCTGATGAGGATCTACTAGCCAGACCACCGGGAGGATCTAGAAAGTAGATCCCCTCATGGGGGTTCTTATCAAGTACCCTTAGTAGTATAGGGTCCCAAAACGGTGGCTCTACCTTCTAGATCCTCCAGGTGCTCTGGGTACCAGGCTACCAATATGGTCATATAAGAGGGAATAGAAGGTGGCATCATCATTACTATACTCACCTCCATGTTGGGCTTCAAAGTTTCGAGGCAAGGATTCGGATGAAAGGTTTCTGGGATTCGAGGGTCTAGGGGCCCGGTGTTGAATTGGATTTACTGAGGCGTTGATACTGTAAGGTTATATGGTCCAGGGCATTGGCGTCAAGAGATTTGAGACTGCAGCTGTGACGGTTGAACCACCGGTAGTAAGCAGCTCTACTCTGAATGGTGTCTTGGCCTAAAAGCTTGGATCATTCCCCAGACCACCAGGAGGATCTAGAAAGTAGAACCACCGTTTTGGGACCCTATACTAGTAAGGGTACTTGATAAGAACCCCCATGAAGGGATCCACTTTCTAGATCCTCCCGGTGGTCTGAGTCTGAAGCTAAGCCAAGCTCTACGATAGCGAGGTCTCCTCTTAAGTATATGCACATGACTTGGTTGTCGTCTGCGCACATGGCAGGGCTTCTTCGGGCCAACTTGAGGGTCAACGTACCTTAGAGGCATGAATTTCCTTTTTTCCTATTCTACGTTTTACATGTAAATCATGATTGCAGATCTGAATCCGAATACCGCAGATCTAGCTGCTTTTGTTTCGGACCCTGAGGGTCAGGATTCCCTTCACGACTTTGCGGCATGTTCCAGTTTTCAGGAACCACAGCAACTCCCATTTACATCTGCCATAAACCCTATAAGCCCTAACCCAAAAGGCTAAGCCCTGGACCGTACAGCCCATCTCAATATAAGGCCGAGGGGCTGTATTGCCAAAAAATTCAACAAGCAGGGATCATGCAGCGTGTAGCGACCTTAGTGATTACAACTGTGTGTCTTTGTGTTTGGGGGTGTATTGCTATGATCTCGATTTTAGTGCGCTCATACGGTTGATGAAATAAATCCTGCACTACCCATAATAAGGAATATACCATAAATCTCATAGTTTAGGGTCCTTAATGCAGGATTTATATCATCAACAGTAGGGGTGCTGCGAGACACAACATGCTGTGCGACATTGGCTCAATCCAGCCCGCGATGCTGCAGCACATGTGGCTTGAGACAGCTTCAACCCAGGCAGCTTTTGGGGAATACGAGCTTTGAGCTCGCATGTTGCATTTGACTGGACCAACTCCAAAACATCTGGCTGAACAACCTCAGACAATAGACTAGGTCAATAGAATGGTTTTAACTGCCCTAAACCCTCCACCCTACATGGTTTAGTTCCTGTTGCTCTATCAAAGGGTTTTCGAGTGTCAAGGAATTTGCTCTCCAGCCATGGCCACAATGCAGCCTCTGCTGGCAGAGAGGGCTCTGCTCCCCCTGAGTCCCGAGATCTTCGTGCGCCCCATACAGTGATCAGGGTTTAGGGCTGAGGGTCTCGTGGGCTTCGTGTTTGGGCTTTGATTCTTTGGCCTTTGATCATCTGCGTTATGTGATTAGAGACAGGAATATCTCGTTGTAGGTGGTTGGATGGTGAAAGCACATCGATGTGTTATCTCCGTGCAGAGAACTGTCTTCAGCATTCCTTAATTTCGTTTTTTAATCTCGCAACCCTAAGCCCTTACACAGGACTCCCAGTTTCAATGTTTAGGCCTCCACATCCCTTTGTTCTGGCGCTTCGGTTGCGGCTGGGGCGCGGTGGATGAAATGTCTCCGGGGATCCATTGTATCAAAAAGGTGAAAGTAGCGTTTCCACTCATGGTTTGTGTATGTTTCTGCCGCATGGATACGTAAGACCTTTGGAGTGTTCTGCTTTGAGGAGGGTCGCGAAGCAACCGTCCCGCGAAGCTCTTGTTACATGTTTAAAGTTTCAGTTTCAGTAGGATTTTTCTTAGAGGAGTGAAGTCTAGCTTTGGTTGCATTACCATCCAGTGCCCCCGGCCCGCAGGTTTGTTCTTGTGTTTCTGGGCTGTGAACTGTGGGTTCTTGCACATAGGACCCTAGCCGCTCCCAACCCACACGGTTTAAGGCTTAGAGTTTAAGTTTAGGTAGAGTGTCCAACAAAGCGACAAGAAGTTTTGCAATGACAGTCGACCCAGGTAGACGGATGCTATCCTCGATTGGCGACCCCAAAACAACTTTCAGGGCTTCAGGGTCTTCAGGTTGGCGCAGGGCCGGGGCCGGGGTGTAGTGGTTTAAAGCTTAACATTACTTGTGGTGAGCATGTTTGGTGTTGTTCACGAAGTTGCTCCATCTCCTCAATGGCTCAGGTTGAGCGTAACTGTACCTACTACTCAAACACAAGCCGCTTCGTAGAGTCACGTAGGTTGTAGGCCGTTTAGGAGTATAGTCATAGTCAGAGTATACGTGCCCAGAACCACGAGTAATAGCTTCATGCCCAACTTCCACAGATGATAAGGCGATAGAGAGCCAAAAGAATGTGATAGTTTTTCAGAGGTCCTGGCGCCCCACTATAGAGGATCCCTTTGTGCACCTCCCTTCAGGCTACCCTTAAAGGGACTCTTTACCAAGCCCGTTAAGGAAGCCTGTAGCGGCACCCTTAAGGAACCCTGAACAGAACCCTGTACCGAATCGTTTAAAAGGAGCCCTTAACGGACCTAGGAAGCGGGAGCTCTTAAAGGAAATCCTGGAAGGAAGCCCTGAACTGAAGCACTACAGTAGAAGCCTAAAAGTTGGAAACCCAATAGCCTCAATCCTTAAGAGTAATGTATGGGGAATCCCAGCACTATTTGGCCTTAATCCGGTTTCCGATTTTATGGGCTTTACTGTATAGCTATTAACACCCCCTATCCCCCCTCCCCCAACCCCCCTTAAACACCCTAAAGCCTAAACCCTGAACCCTAAACCCTAAACCCTAAGCAATTATAAAGGAATCCTCTTAGGAGCCCCCCTAAACCGTAAACCCTAAACCCTAAACCCTGCAAACCCTAGACCCCTAAACCTAAACCCTAAGCCCTAAGCTCTAAACCCTAAGCCCTAAACCTAAATCCTAAACCCTAAACCCTAGACCCCTAAACCTAAACCCTAAGCCCTAAGCTCTAAAACCCGAAAGAGGTTCCTCGCCAAAGCCCCTCTCTGGACAAAGCGAGCCCCGCTCCGGTTCGCTGTGGGCGTGGCCAGGAGGACCTGACTCGTTTAGGGTTAAGGGCTGTGAGGGTTTAGGGTTTGGGGGGTTTAGGGTTTAGGGGTTTAAATTTAGGGTTTAGGATTTAGGGTTTGGGGCTGTTTAGGGCTGGAGGGTTATAGGGTTTGGGTTTTGGGGTATAGTTGTTCGGGCTTGGGGCTGTAGGGTGTAGGGTTCGGGTTCGTGGTGGGTACACCGGAAACTCCCATGTACTCCCTTCCACTTCCAAGGCAGGCCATACTTTATGGGAGTTTCCGACAATTCGGGGTACCTTATTTTGGGGATCCTTATAATCGGGATCCTACTAATTAGGGTACTACGGTTGATGATATAAATCCTGCACTACCCATAATAAGGAATATACCATCATTCCCATAGTCTAGGGTCCTTAAAGTAATGCAGGATTTATATCAGCAACAGTAGTTCCTTATTGGGATTACCTTATAGGTTTCTATATACGGACCCCCAAAAGGAACTAATGTGGGGCCTTAGGGATCATCAACCGTATATTAGGGTCCCCCTGTTCTCGGAAACCCCGATTATGCAGCAGGAGCCGCCTAGGACTTGAAGGGGTTTTAGGATTCTAGGGGTTTAGGGGTTTAGGGTTTAGGGGTGTAGGGTTTACGGTGAAGGGTTTCAGGTGAGGGGTTGTTAGGATGAACTTAACTCCCGGGCTCTAAACGCTCCCCAAGAGTCCATGTACCCAAATACTATATTGCTGTGGCCTTAAAGTATTCCCTACATAGGTACATTGGGCCCAAAGTGAATATACTATCTGGGTACATGGCCCCAGTGGCGATGGAAGGACAGAGGTCTTCGGCGCTGTGGCTTCTTGGCTGCCGCCCTGGGTGGTGCAGCTTGGATCAGGTGGGCTTCAGGGTTTGATTCAGGTAACGTGTTGCGATAACATTGCATGAGGGCACCCATAGCCCCAAACCCTACGAACTAGTGGTAGGTTATGCCCGTTTCTGTTATCAGGCATAATAGGCAAAACCCTTGCAAAAGTAGTTGGAGCGGCACGTAGCCTAAACCATACATCGATGCCGTAAGCCCAAACCCTAACTTCTACATCCTCAGCCTTAAACCCAAACCGCTAAAACCCATGA